ATACACCATCAGATAAGAATAGACAAGATCTACATAATGCACTGTCATATGTTTCTTTTTACATGAATCTTATATGATCTGATAAGACCTGAGGAGAAACATTCAGCCTGTACTTATACGTTTCTTAATCTTTAAATCTTGTAAGATTTTTGCTAACATCTTATGGTCAGAATCTGAGGAAATCTTTAAAAAAGTGAACACATACGAAATCATATGCTCTTGTGACAAGCTCATAGAGAAAATCTTATAAGGGTAAGATCTTTTCAGATCTTGCATGATCATGATCTGATGTCAGGTTTTTAACCTGGGAATTTACGACTAACTTACAACCATATAGGGTCGTATACTACACTTGTACTAGAGATGTCCATGACGGTGGCGGCGCGGAGAGATTTTTTAAATACCATCGTGGCAGCGGTCGATTTCTTAGGATGAAATCTTTAAAACTCACGAATTTTCAAGAAATCTTGGTATTCATATCCGCTATGTGGCAAGACTCAACAAATTTGACCGACTACTAGGAGTTATTTCTGTTCGGACAAATCATAAGATCCAAAGTCAACAAAATTGCTTGAACATGGCTGCGAAAGCGGTGCGGTCGCTTGTTGTCAGAGTTCATCGTGATGCGGTGGTGGTGAACTTTCAACAGCGATGAACATCTCTGATTTGTACACGACAGTCATTTATCTTCAACGTATACGTTGATCGTATTTGAACGTACGGCATCGTATACGATCGTGCTTTTTCGACCTGGGTATCTTAAGCATGCTACAATGTGATTTAGAAAGTTGATGACTTTGCTCTTTCATATTTTGTAGTGCATCTTCATATTTGACAATTTTTTTACAATGAAGCATTGAACAGTTTTGCAGAAATTTTTACCACAGCCTTTCCTTATCAATACAGAAAAATTGTTAAGATTATACATCAAATAATTTCTTATAAGAACTAGCTCATTTCTTCTGGGTCACTCAACAACATCAACTGCAATTTAGTAACAGAATCATCAGTGTTACTATGGAGTACCATGTCCATGAGTTTGCCCTTCATGATGGTGGTTTTTTTAATTTATCGGTTTCTCATTGGTTTACATTTTGACGAGTGGTAATTTTTTACTGGCCGTAGTGTAGTGATCGGTGATGGTGTTGTTGGTAGCTTCACACATATAGACTTTAAAATTGAAATGTATATGAAAGTTTATGTCATGATAATAAAAATGAAGAATATATACGATACTCTTATAGATCATGCCACTCTTATTTAACTGGCCATTTCCAGAAAAACCTACTATATATTATAAAGCATTATCGACAGTGACGATTGGACTCGTGGGAACATTGAGTAGACTCTGGATGAGTAAGTAAGAAATCATCATATGCGAAAACAAGTCAGGAAACACAGAGATTTTATTTTTATTCATAGAATACATTACTTCAGTTCGAATTGAGAATGGTAAGAATTCTTATGTATTTACTTGTCATAGAATTTTATTATTGAAAGGTGATATTATTCGCAATGCTGTCCTTCATCGAGATCCGAAACGACCATTAATTACTACGGCTAATCATCATTCTTGTAAGATCTTTTTCTTAAATATGATTATTAATCATAAAATTTAATAAATAGGTTTGGATGATCCGTTGTTGTTCGGTATATAAACTGTAGTTTTCCTTCTCTTGAGCATCTTCATTGAATTATTTCTTATTATTTTTTTCGCTGTTTTCATTATTAATCTATATGTTTTGTTATTGTAGGAGGTCTTATGCCATATCGTGTTTTTTGGAATCGTCAACAAATGCGTTGGTCATTAGGTGCCGATGATATTGTGTTTACAGTAAAAAGCCATCAACGTTTCTTCAGTTTGGGTAAAACAATACCAGTAAAGCGTGGTGATGGAGTTTATCAGCAACCAATGGATTTTGCATTAGAACAAATTAATCAAGGTGATTGGGTGCATATTTTTCCTGAGGGTATTTGAATCTTTCATATATGTACTAGTTTTTGTTTTTAATTTATATTTTAGCAAAAGTAAATTTAACAAAAGAATTAATGAGACTTAAATGGGGTAAATTCAGACTAAAATAAATATTACAATAAAGTAAAAAATTTTAGGTGTTGGTCGTCTTATTGCTGAAGCTAAGATTTGTCCATTAGTTGTTCCGTTCTATCATCTTGGTAGGAAACATATTGAACAATGATCGTCAATTTTTAGTTTTATTGATTAGGAATGGATTCTGTATTACCTAACGTTGAACCTTATGTTCCTAAAATGGGTCAAAAAGTAAGTATTTATGTTGGTGAACCACTTATCTTAGATGATCTTGTCGAAAAAATGAAAAAAGAAAATCAATCATTGGTATGAATAAATTAATCAATTGTTTAATTGAATCTATTTTATTTTTGTAGCAAGAAATACGTAAAGCAGTAACTGATAGAATTCAATTTGAATTCGCAAAATTAAAATCAAAATGTGAAGAATTACATCGAGAACATTTAGAAAGTAATTCTTCTTCATCGTCTTCAAAGACTTGAAAATAAAAAGAAGTTTTTTTTTTTTAAATTTTTTTGTTAGTGTGTCATTTTGTTTGCTTAGTACTGAAAAGGAGAATAGAAAGTAATGAAAGTTGTATGTCAATAGGAAAACAATGATATTGTATTTTATGATTGACATCTGTTGTTTCAATATGAAACTTTCAAATTATTCGAACATTAGTGGCTTTACTATTCAACATAATATCATAAAAGATTTTCTTTAGATCGATAAACAATATCAATAATTTATATGTTTTAATAAAAAATATTCAATTGCACAATATTCGTAAAGGCTGTAGAAAAAAGAAAGAAATGTATCTTTAGTACAAATTTTTCTCAGGTAAGACATAAAAAATATAGAAATGAATGTATATTTTAATTGTTTGTTTCACCAGTACATTCATAGATATACCTGTATATGAATGATATGAGTTACAATAGAACGAAAACGGTTTAATTACATTCTTTTTTATTCATTTTTAATTCAAATGTTGTCGTTTATCATCATTCATCAATATCTATTTGTCAGAAATACATAGTAATAGCTGTGATCAAGTGTACTGGAGAAGTATCGGAAAGAATAAATTAAAAATTAGTTTCTTTCATTTTCTGATTTGAACTTACCGATAAATTTTCGCATGATACTGGCTGCTGTTGTTAATCATCTTATTGTAAGGTCTGTTGAGATAACTGAAGGGATGTTTTATGCTGAATTATTAAGTTCACAATTTCACTTTTGATGATATATGTCTCGTCTTTTTGTTAAGATTTGCATTGAATCCTTGAGGCAGAGCAAGTCAGTATAGGTTTCAAACTTCGTTTTAGATCACATTGTCATTTTATTTTGCTCTATAGTAGATATCAGCTGTTAGTATTCACCTTGTAACTGATGTTTCATTAATAATTGGTAGTATTTTCGATTCAATTCAAGAAAATTACGTTCTTCTGTCAATCGCCCATCATTACTTCTATTTTTTTTTATTAATTCTAATTGTATTCGAGGAGCATAACAATGCTTTAATCATGAAAAAATATTTTCTATATTAAGTAGTTAATCAATCAACATCATAAAACTGATTCATACAATGTACCTTCTTCGAAATATTTCGTGAAATTTTTCAAATGTAGAACATACTTTATATAAATCGGGCAATATTCTCAACAATTATATTTCATGTAGTAACTATTTTTATTGTTTTTCTTATAGATTATATCGCTATTGAAAACTCACTTGATCATGTTAATAGTTATATTATAAATCCTAATCAATAAATTATTCTTAGTTTATTGTCTAGAATAACAATTAAATCTAAATCAATTGCTCATGTCATATAAAAGTAACAACACTGAAAAACTTTTGGCATGTAAATCCAATGGACAGTTATTAATCGATTAAAAATTCAATAGTTTACTAAAAATTCCTGTAAGAATCATTTTATTTAATTAAAGACAAGTACTATCTATATGCCATTTAATAATTCGAAGCCAGCTATTATTTATTCTTTCAATTACGCCTGAAAATAAAATATTTATTGATTAATAAAGATATTTTATATTCCAATGTTGCTCATTTTATACAAATAATGGTTCCATAAATCAACTTAATTTGTCTATGTTGATCAGAAACTCGAGAATTTGCAAACTAGTCGTCATCCAGAAAATGACCTTATAATTGACGATACTTGTCATTTATTGTATAAAGCTGTTTTCGATTGTACTAATGCCACATATTTCAGTTTGAACGAAATTTCAAAATGTGATTGATGTTCGTTGATAGTTAAGATACTTATACTAATTAGACAATAATTTAATATTTTCTTAGTTCACCGAATCCATGGATTAAGCATGTTCTTGATTTGTCTGAAATTGAAAAAGTTGATCGAAATTCTTAAAGCTTTCACATTAACGTTTGTTTGCTTCAAAACTGATCTTGAAATTAACAATAATAAAAGTAAACAGTTATTCTATCGTTATCAGAAAAGTAATAATTCAATTACGGGCGATGATATACTGGTGCCTATTTACGATAACGCCTGATCATTTTTCATGTAAATGTTAGCGACACAAATAAAGTGGCAGTTATCAATTTATCTCAATATAAGGCATTCATCAATCCCAATTTTAACGATCTATAAATTCTTTTGTTTTTGATTGAATTTTACTTGTTAAACTAATAGCTGTATACTCTACGTCATAGTCTTTAATTATACTATGGTTTTTTTGAATGTATATATCGATCAAATTTTTATTCATATTTGTACATGCTTACTTAAATAAAGATTTTTTCGAGATCCATAAATAATATTATTATCAAGAAACAGTTCTATCAGTCGAGCAGTAAAAATTTATTGAGTCAGAAAGAAGAAAAATCTTTTATATTCATTATTATTGCTAACTACATAATATTAATTATAAAAATTTTAATTATCAAGAGGATTACATGTCACCGATTCATACAATGATGTTTTTTATTTACGTAATCTTGCTGGTGTGTAAAGAGGTGTGTGATATGTAGGTAATGTTGCTGGTGTATAAAGACGTGTATGATATGTACGCATTGTTTGTATACGTGGAGTTGGTGGTTGTGTTGGCAATGGATTTCTTTTACTTTCATAACCACCACCAATTTCCCATTGCTGAAAATCTCTCCATGTACTTAATCTTGGACAAAAACGTTTACCTAGTATTGAACATTTTTCTTCATAAGCTTTACGAGCTTCACGTTTTTGCTCTTCACATTTGGTCTTGCCTGGATGAAGGAAACTACGCCGATCACGAAAAAGAAATTGTAAAGCTTCATTTGATTTAACTTTAAAAAAAACGATAGAATTAAGAAAAACAATTTATGATAACATAATATACTTACTTTGAAATTCATCCGAATCTAAATCTGCAAACGTGCTAACAATTAGAAAAAGAAGAAAATATATCCACTAAATTAACAAATAAGAAGATAAAAAAGTAATGAAAGATGAGATAGTTAAAACGTACCTTCATAATCGTTTATATTTCAGCGAATAATACTAACAGAATATTTGTTTTTTCCTAGCTATTCCTAAACGCCTAGTCAATGACACAAATAAATATAAAGGAAAGTTGTTGAAAACTATCATCAACTTTAGAGCACAGTAATTATCGGATAGAAGGTGGAGAATATTTATCACAGAATTTACTGTGTCTATCGAATAAATATATTTACTAGAAAACTTTCAAGTGGCAATGATAAATTGGTAAACATTGACTGATGTATCTGATGAATTAATGTTTATTATTCAACTTATTTAGAATTTTAGTAATTACAATTCTTGGAAAAGATATCATGCTTTTCTGATATAACTGTTCAATGGCGGGCAAATGAATGACAATTGTCAATCATATGAACTCATCAAATACATATGAATGACAATTGTCAATCATATGAACTCATCAAATACATATTTTCCTAAATAAAACTGATATATTTTTCTGATAGTTGGCTATGAATGTCTTTTCTATCTCATATCATTTACATTTTCTTTTTTTTTAGTGTGTGTCCGCATCTATTCTTTGATTGATGTTAACTTTCCAAGTAGTTGCGTTATATATGAAATTTTAGTGTTTATCGTAATGAAGCATAAACAGGACACTACAATTTTCAAATTATTCATTAAAATTTTTACTTGCTTCATCGGCTAAAACCTTTACTTATTTCATTTGCACTTAAATGATCTCCTCAACGCATAATCAAACTCAAGTCATCCATAGGTTATTGTTAAGATTTGCTAATCTAGTTCTTTCAAGAGTGCTAAATGTGGAATGTACGTTTCTCTAATGGCCCTCCTATCCGTTCCAAATCATCTACGACATTTCAGGCTTTTAGATCTTATCCATCGTTGTCTTTTGTCATTTTCTTAATACTATGCAAGACAAAGTCCGCTCATCTATTTTGGTTTCGCAGATGAGCATTTATTATATATAATTGTACTTAATTAGAAAATGGATTCAACTTATAAGAAAAGTCGTTACTTTTTTAACACGGTCGCAAGAACACTTAATATTTTTAGATGTTATAATCATGAATTTATTTCTATTATATGAACAACAAAATTTCATGTTTGAACGTGCAGTCCATTCAGATTTGTCCCCAAGCACTACAATTCAAAGAAGTTAATAGTGTTGTTTCAGGAAAAATATACGATAATTTTTATTGCATATACATATTAATAGAAGATGCTATGAGCCTATTTTCATCAGCGTTTCAATCTTTCTCATATGTTTACATCAGTATATAATGTTGTGTTCAACAAACACACTCTTGACGTATTGACCACTGAAAGCAGTTTCATCTTTAATTGAGCTGTTATCTACTGACGAGACTTGAACAAAACCGATTTCACCTTTTATTGGACTTTATCAGTAGTGCTAGATCATGGTTCTATGATAATTATATGAAACAGTCGGTGTACTCGAAAGTTGGATGGTTATCAACCAATCACTGGATAGATTAAGATCATTCAAATTAAAGTTGTGACAAAGCAATTATGCTACTTGTTTCATGAAAACTAGTTTAATGAAGTCCATCACATTAGGACTCCACAAAACAGTAGTCGATCAATAGTTATCTATCGAAAATTTTCACTGAGAAAGAATTGGCAGGCTCCAATCCGTTGGAGTCCTTTGAAGTCTCATGAAATCCTTCGTAATTCTATAAAAGTTTATCCTAAAAATTAAAGTCTATTGTATATTTATTTTTTCCATCAATAATGATATCAAATGGCATAGATATTAACTTTAGCTTTGAAGCGAACATAAGCTATTTTTCTATCATCTGCGTGAGATAAAGTTACTAATTCTACAACTTTAAATAAAACAAAATACCGCTTATTGAAAAAAACAAGCAAAAATGTATTATATAAAGAAAAAGAGATTTATTCTTGTTCGTGAGTCTGTATTATTCAAGGTAATCTGACATTTGAAAGTTTACTTTGTTCGCCTGTTAATGGCTAGCAGGTAGACTATTTCCATAAATATTTTGTATCATGCTTTACTGAAACTTTAAAATAAGGCTGTTACATGTGATGTTTCAATTTATTGCACGCTTATACTCCAAAAAAGTCTTTTTCTTGTGATGGTGATGAACTTTGGAGTAGCATCTTGTTCGTCTTTATTCATGTGATCATCCTTCAAGGAAAGACTATTATTATTATCAGCAGTAGCATTGTTGAAATTCTTTGTTGTTTTGTCATCATCATCCGCAGCTATTTCAAGATCTTTATCTTCTAAATTGGCCATTGAAGATGATTAGTTGTACATCTTTGAATTTGTATTTAATTGTCCAAATACATATTCATTAAATGGCTTTAAACTAAGAACATTTTATTTTTGCAATAAATTCGACATTTCTAAGCCAATACCTATATCGATTGCTTCGTATTAGGCATCAGTGATAACTTGTTTTAAATTATTTGTTTCCAGTTTGACCGACATATATGCTGGTTTCTAAAAATATATCTCCTGTTATTGTTTTGTGTTGTTTACATTATATTAATTGTTTTGAATTCGATCCGTGTGAACCATAGTTGACATAGAAAAACCATACACCAAACAGATCAGAGTCATAAAATTCAATTTTACGAAATGTAGCATTTCTTGAATGAAAACATTTCCGTTCTCAAATAATAAATGTTATTAACACACTAAATTACGCTCAGCAGTAATTGTTTTTTCAATACAGGCCATCATAATCATTTTAATATCTAACGATAGAGCAAAGTTCCTCGAGTTTTAATGGTATCATTCAAGTTTTATATAGATCATTATATGTTAATGCAAAGCAACAGCTAAAGTTTAAGAGATGCTTACAGATAATGTCGGATTTTGTTCAACTATAATCAAATTTGGTATATGTTCCATTATCATTATTATCATGTATATGAATAATCGATATAAATTGTTTACTAAGACATAACTTAGCTGTTGATAATAATAAATGGTTACGCCATTCAGTAGCCAAATGTATTGTATCTTGAGAAAACAATGACAATTGTTGTTTCCGTAGATACACCCAACGTCAGGGTGATGTTGCTTGTATTTGAAAAGGTTGCGAATTGACAACCACACTACACCATCACCCATACCCACACCCTTAAGTATTTCCCTAAATTTGCAGCAAAGATTTGAAGTTGATTACATCATCACCGATTACTTGGTAAAAGATCAATTCATAGAAAATCACCATTCAAATACTTTCTTCTATTAACACTAATGATTTAGAGTCGATCACATCATCGATGAACATAAGATGGAGAAATAATTCATAGGAAACAGCTACTTAGATGTTTACTTGAATTCGAAGCAATGTTTTGCGGAGGATTATATCCTCGAAGAATATTGAATGAATGAATAATTCATACCAAACATCTATTTAAATATTTTCTTGAACTTTTAGCAATGGTTCGAGGTTAATTATATCATTGACGAATATTTGATCACGGAATAGTTCATATTAAGAAACAATTGGAATTTTTGTTAGAGCTCGAACGAAAGAGTTTGAGTTGAATATATGATTGGTCCTGAGTGCTACAAGTTTAAGGTTAATAAATAAACCATAGCTTTGTTCATTGTTTGACGTATCAAGCGTCTAAAATCTGTATTGTCAACCGTAGCTACTTTCATCATATAAATTGTTGCCAACAACGGCATAAGAATAGCCATAGAGCTTGCCGAAATAATCTGCTCTTTCGTTGTGGGTTGCTTTTCAGCGTTTGAGAAGAAAGTGGTAGATGTACGTAAATAACTATTGAAATTGTACAGATGTGCTTCGGCTTTATATATTCGCTGACAGCTTAGCACATAGAAGGTTGCAAAACAAGGTTTTTATTTTCATGGATGGTAAGAGAGATTGGTTTGTATTTACTGACAAAGAAGGACACATCTTGTGGTGTCTTCTCGAAGAGAGAGATTCGTTTTTTCTTACTCCTACAGAGAGATTTTTTCTCGTAGGAATACGTACGTATCGCTACTAATCAATGCAAGGTGATGTACATACATTCATAATGATTGTTGTTTGTTCACCGACGCTTCGAGCGCTATTTGCCGTTCGATAGGCTTTTTCGTCTTTTTCTTTTCAATCACATGTGACTTTCAATGATAGCAAAGAACCATATAATCAAGGACTATGCATCTATCACATATATTTAACTGTGAGGTATTTTTTATTCTGTACAAATAAAAAACGACGTCTCTTATTCATTGTCTCAAGGAGGATAGGAAGACGAATGTATTGACGTGTGACTATTAACGAAAATGTAAATAGTAACGACCAATAGAAAGTAATATCATAAAAGGTAGCTGATGAATGAGAGACCTTCAAGACGATGCACAATTAAAATAAGAAGTTATTCATGTGTGATCAGAAAGAGAGAAATATGAGACGAAGGCTTATTACTTTTTTGTCTCATTCTCTTATTCGATTTCTGAACGTCTCTCGCGTGAAATCTAATAAACGCACAATATGAACTATGAATCAGCTGATATGTAGATGACAGAGATGTGTTAGAAGAGTTTAAAATCTAGGTGAGATCGAAACAATATTTTTATAATTTTCTAGTAAGAAACATCACTTATGTATCAAAATATAATATATTTTATACAGTGAGTAAGTTTTTTTCTTGTCTTTCTGCAACGAGTATAAATTGTTATTGTAATTTCTTTTAGAATAATGAGCACATGAAGACCTTGAATGATTAGTTAAAGTCGATGAAACAATAAATATATTCTTTTTATAAGTGAATCAGTGTTTTTTTTGTAGTTTTTACAAAAAATATCATTTTTTTTTATTTTTTATTTTCTGCTGATATGCACATTGAGTGGTTCGTGACTGTTCAACAATTAATAAATAAACTTTTTCACCTCATTATTAAAAAAAAAATTTCCATTCAGGATTATTATATAAATGATTAAATATTAAAAACTGAAATTTCATATGGTATTTTATGGTTTTTTTTTAAAGAATTGAATCGAATATATCACGAGCAGGGGCGGAATTATGGAGCTTTCCAAAAGTAAAGACGTCTTACATCACGTATGTTTTATATCATTACAATATGAGAGCATAATAAATGATTGTCAGTGCTAATGAAAATGAAACCTAATTTTTTTCTCTAAACAGATTAATTGATGGTATATGGTACATAATATTTCTTATAGAAAAAAATTAGTATTTGATGAGTGCCATGGAATTATTTAAGTTCAAACACTACAATAGATAAATATTTTCAAAATGATACATTAAATAATTCGAAATAAAGCAATTATCTTATATTCCAATAATATCAAAACTTGAATACAACAATAAACATCAACTACTATATGACTCAGGCTAATCTAAATAATAGAACATTCATAAAATTGAAATACACACAACAAAAATCGCCATCTTTTATAAGTATAATATAAAAAATTAAAAGCAAATATTTTTTTCGATCGTTTTGTTTAGTGTGAGGCGTTTTTGTGAGGTCTTTTTTAAATGAATTATGCCATATTATTTATGAATCTTTATATCTCTCATAAAATCTTTTGTTGTCTAAGAGAGTTTTTTACAATTGTTTCATGCATTGTAAGCGCAATAGGATTCTTATACCAACTGTGACAGATTCAAATCAATCTTTTACTCTCCATTCTTACTCTATAGCAATCGATTTGCCCAAATAAAATTAATTTTTTTTAAAATACTTACCTAATAAAAATGATTAAAGGATGACGTGTTTCATCTTGTTTACAGTCAATTGGAGTAATTCAGATCATTTGAAAGAAAAATGAGTGCATTTTAATCATTTGTTCAATGATACTGTATCAGGGAAAAGCTTGTTTAGTTCAACCAGAGTGTGCATGTAGATGTGGCAGTGGGTGAAGGAAAAATTCACATCCACATAAAAAAATGCTACTTTTTTGATAGTTATTAGATTTCAAAATTCGATTAAAACTTCGTTGAATTAGTACCAAAATATTAGTGTTAACATGTTCTTCGTGTTGATATATGATTCAAGAAGGTTGGCCGAAGAAATTAAGAGTAGAGGGTAGGTATGTCACGATATCGACTCTGTTTGGTATTGACTGGTAAAGGTATTGGATGACATTTAATATCAGTTTCTGCAAGGACAGACATTAGTCAATGCCATTAGTGCTCAACACCAAGGCTTCAATACCGTATTGGAATTATGACATTTCCAGTGGATGAATTTAATCTAATATATGAACACAAGATTAAGGTTTTTCTATTTTCTCTCTGGCAATCTATGACTATCAGCGCCTATGTAGTTATATGAAATAAACCTTTTACCGTACTGATGTTTAATAAGAAATGTTAATGAATATCTTTTTAATATTCATGTTCAGAACCTAGAACTATTCAACATTTCGACTTTTCTTTCATTTTGATGCATCCTGTCTGAAGTATTTATATTCTTTTTTTTTTGCCTATCCTTACCGAGGAAAATAGCTGGAGTCGATATTTTTATCTTATCTTGACTTAGTTCTTGAGATGCAGGGTGATACAGAATTTCACATTCTATTGAAATATAGACTTACAATCGAATTAAGTTATCTTTCAGTGAAAATAAAGCTGAAAAACTGAATCGACAGAAAATAGATAATGTAATGGAGAGGAATCTAAAGATTGGAATATCTATATTGTTCTAAAATTTTTTTACCAAATAAGTACAATTCAATATGTACATATATTGGATTTTAAAGAATTTCATGGGTTATCAGAATATAGAATTATTTCTTCAAAAGCATCAATTTATAAAAAATGAATTATGAAAAATATCATATGCAAGTATTTTTTCAAACGAAGGTTTTCGACAAAAAGACAACAATTTCAATTCAACACCTATTTGAAAAGATTGCTCGATGCATTTTGATGTGCTCTTTCACATGAGACTACTCTCGAGTTACTCTATTGTGCTGATTCTATCAACTTGTCATATACACATGGGCATGCTTCCGAAATAGTATATGGTATCTAGCAAAAATTATCCGATGATGAAGTACTTTTATTACTGTGAGAAAGTAGTTCACGTTTGATAGTATCTATGATGAAAATATCTCGATGATACCTTTTGTTGTTTCTTAGAAAATGAAAATTTCCTGGAATGTATTGCACTACAAGAAATTCCAATTTTGTCTAAGTAATAATACTTTCAAGGTCTATTTCTTCAGAATAGTTTGCCCGTTTTAGCTGAAATTTTCAGTTTCTTCTTAGCTTTACTAGATCTATCTATTGTAAAAAT